AAGTTTCACTGGGTCTCTGGCATAATGTGGCAAAGTTTCAGGAGCCTGATGTGGGAGACTGAACTATTGGCAAGGCTATGGAGAACGACACACATTCAAAGCTGTGTGGTCAGCCCCCATCTCTGAATGGGATGCTGCTGCCTGTTTCCTATTCAGGTCAAAATCTGACAGGCTTTGCAACACGTATGCTGCCCTTGTTTCTGTGAGCCATGATTGAATCAGTCTGAACTAGTTTGAAGCCTAATTACTTAACTCAACATTATGTTTGTAAGATTCATACATGTTGTGTTGAATTGTTATTTTCTTCTTTCTTTGAGTGAATAATCCATAATTTATTCATCCATCTTTCTGTTGATGGGTATTTGAGTAGGTTCCATTTTTCAGCTATTAGAATTAGTGCTGCTGTGAACATTCTTGTATATGTTTGATGAATATTCTTATGCACTTCAGTTGGGTGCACACCTAGGAGTGGAATTGATAACTTGTATGTTCAGCCTTAGTAGAGAGTGACAAACATTTTCCAAAGTGGTTGTACCAATTCCCACTCCCACCAGAAGTATATGAGAGTTCTGGTTGCTTCATATCCACACCAATACTTGATATTTTTGATATTATTTTTATTATTTTAGCTAAGCTGGTGGCTGTGTAATGGTAGAGCATTGCTATTTTTAATATGCATTTTCTTGACAACTACTGAAGTTGAGCACCTTTCCATATTTTACTGACCATTTGAATATTCTATTTTTCTACTGGATCATCTGCCTTTTCCTTACCGATTTGTAGAAGATATTTGTATATTCTTTATATACTCTGTATATGAGTCTTATTTGTTAGATATATGTACTGCAAATATCTTCTCCAACCAGAGAGTTACATTTAAAAATATATTTACTTTTAAACAGTGCATGTTCTTAAAAATGGTCAAGCAAGATACAGGTGTATAGTAGAGTAAAAAGCTGAAAATTTCTTCCACCATGCTGAGATAAACATGGTTCAGAGTTATACACATATCAATATATTTAACAACACAAATTGTGCATTTTCCCACTTCTGAATGGACCTAATGAACACCTATATTATCCCTATTTTACAGAGGAGAAGACTAAAGGCACAGAGAGGTGAAGTGACTTGCCTGATGAAATGCCCTTAATAAGTAGCTGAGCCTGGATTTTAGCCCAGGAATCTCTAACTTTTGACCTTCACCCGCTTTGTTATGGATTGAATTGTGTCCCCCAAAAAGATATGTTCAAGTCCTAACCCTCAGTACCTGTGTATATGACCTTATTTGGAAATAGTGTCTTTGCAGATGTAATTAGTTAAGTTACCATGAGGTCATACTGGAGTAGAGAGGGCCATAACCCAACATAAGAAGAGGAGAAGAGACAGAGACACAGATGGAAGACAGCGATGTGAAGACAAAGACAGAGACTGGAATTATGCTGCTACAAGCCAAGGAATGTGTAGGTCTACCAAAAGCTGGAAGAGACAAGGGAGGGATCTTTCTTTAAAGTCTTCAGAAAGAGCATGGCCCTGCCAACACCCTGAGTTCAAACTTCCAGCCTTCAGAACTGTAAGAGAATTAATTTCTATTGTTTTAAGCCACCTAGTTTGTGGTAACTTGTTATAGCAGCCACAGGAAACTAATATGCACTCCAAGTAATTCCATGCTCCATTGGCCAGAGAACTGGCTATTATTGTTCAAGA